CGTCCTCCTTGATCTTGCACAACACCCGTGCAAGGAGGCTCACTGGGGGAACGCACACTTGCGTGGGCCCCGTGGCCAGGCTGTGCGCCAGCGCATCCGAGCCGGAGCCCGGGTCAGAGAATAAACTGGGCGCAATGGGACGAGTCCCGAGAGGCGAACAGGTCTATCTGTGCCCCCCGAACTGGTCCCAAATCAGCTGACCGACTGGGGATGGAGTCGCCATTCGCCTGGAGATGGACGGGCCCGGGAAGCTCGTCGGCTGCCCGGTTCCGGTCTCCAGGAATGTAACTGCACGAAGGGACCTCAGGTGCTTCTGACTCCATATCAAGAGGTGGCGGGCGAGCTGCGACAACCGGCGCGAGCGTAGACCCCCCTGGTGGTTGATGTACGCTACTGCCGTAGTGTTGTCTGAGCGGACAAGCACATGCTGGCCCAGAGCACGCTCGGAAGCGGTGCTGGGCGAGCCGTACTGCCAACAGCTCGAGGCAATTGATGTGCATGAGGCGCTGGGCTCCTGTCCAGGAACCGGCGGCTGCATGCCCATTGCACATGGCACCCCAACCCGTGGTAGACGCATCCGTGGAGACAACGAGATGCCTGGAAACTCGCTGAATAGGGACCCTGTCCGTAAAAAGCTGAGGTTCGACACGGAAGAAGGTTCGGCGGCACGTCGGAGTCACTGGAACTCGGAGCGAGCCGCGATGCCATGCCCACCTCGGGACTCGATCGCGAAGCCACAGCTGAAGCGGTCTCATATGAAGCAAACCGAGCGGCGTACCGCGGATGCCATATGCCCCAGGAGCCTCTGAAATAGTTTCAGTGGAACCGCACTCTTGCCCTCGAACTGTCGAAGACAAGCCAGCAGTGAGTGCGCGCGCTCGTTCGTGAGCTGCGCGGACATGGCGACCGAGTCTATCTCCATGCCGAGAAAAGAGATCCTCTGCACGGGGCAAAGTTTGCTCTTTTCCCGGTTGACCCGAAGGCCCAGACGGGCTAGGTGCCGTAGCACAGGTCTCTGTGTTCGCAAACCTGAGCTCGAGAGTGTGCTAGTATCAGCCAGTCGTCGAGATAGTACAGGATGCGAACCCCGTGTTCGCGAAGGGAACAAGGGCTGCCTCGACGATCTTCGTGAAGACGCGAGGGGACAGAGCTAACCCGAATGGGAGAACGGCGTACTGGTATGCCTGGCCCTCGAAGGCAAACCGAAGAAACGGTCTGTGTCGAGGGAGAATGGAGACATGGAAGTACGCGTCCTTCAGGTCAATCGATGCAAACCAATCCTGATACCGAACACATTCGAAAATGCGTTTGGCCGTGAGCATTTTGAACGGTAGTCGATGGAGAGAACGGTTCAAAATGCGCAAGTCCAGGATCGGTCGTAACCCACCGGTCTTCCTTGGGACAATGAAGTAGGGGCTGTAAAGCCCGGACCTCACCTCGGCTGGAGGGACCGTCTCGATTGCACCCTTCGCCAGCAGGGTCGCAATCTCCGCTCTCAAGACTGGGGCATTGCCACCAACCATCGTGGAGCGAACTCCCCTGAAGCGGGGAAGAGACCGTGCGAACTGAATCGCGTAGCCGAATCTGATCGTTCTGATGACCCAGTGGGAACCCCGGAAGCGCTAGCCAGGCTTCCAGGAAGTGAGCCAACGGGGTCATGCGAACCACAGACGTCCCCCCGGAGGGGCAGCGAGGCGGGTCGACCGGCATGCGTGCAGGAGTTACCCTGTCCGGATGCACCGTCGAAACCCGCTCCCCGACAGAAGAGACCAGGGAAGGCAGAGCGTTCCACGGGGTCTGTTCTGCCGGGGGTCTGGCGACAGAGGGGGAAGGGATTGGCGTAGCCCGGGGACGACACACGCACCCTTCCGCGCCCTCCGAGACAGAGAGGAATGAACGGGGCGACGCACTGGACCTCGTGCGCGCTCATTCCAGTCTGTGTGCTCAATGACAGTGTCAGCTTTTCCTCAACCAGCTCAGGGAGCTAGCTAGAACAAAAGATTCTCCACCGGCCCTCCACCGGGGAAGGAGGGGCCCTGCCACCACCTCCTGAGAAAAACCATGACACTATCACTGAGCGGCCCGCCTCAGGAACATCGCTTCGCCTGGCGTCTAGCGGGGCACGCGGCCTGAGGGGGGGGGCTCTTTTCTTGGGACGCTTACCTGTGGCCTCCTCCGCGACGCGAACCGGCTGAAGGCTGCTGCTGGGGCCGCGTGGGAGGGAAGGGAGCCGCAGGGGGGCGTCCTCGGCGGCGAGCTGGCGGAGGCGTCCGAGCCGACGGCTGGTTGGAGGCAGCAGCTGGCCGTCGGGGCAGAGAAACCGCCTTCGTCTGCTCCTAGGCGGTCGAGAAGTGCTGGGCAAAGTCCTGGACCGCACCGCCGAACATTATGATGCTCCTGGACCACAGCGGTGGACATCACCTGACCAAGGGAGCGAGCGACCGCCTCCGTGACCCGTATAAGGACAAGGTAGGCGGCAGGCTCGCAGGTCGCTTGGTCCGTCACCTCCTCGTGCACATTCCTGAGCAGCTAGCTTTGTAGGTGCTCATCATATGCAGGGCGGAGGCTGCCTGTCCCGCCGCTCTACAGAATCGCGCCGCCATAGACGACGAGAACCCATAGGCTTTGGAGGGGCATCTGAGAGCAACCGCCGGTTGACCGGGGGAGCCCCAGCGTACCCACAGACAGCCGCATCGCCGAGGGGAGGAAGGGCGGGGAACTAAGCACGCTTTCTTTTTTTTTTTTCTTTTTTTTATTTTATTTATTTATTTATTTTTTTAGTGCGTGTCAGTTCCGCATGCAACTCGGGGAAAAAAGGAAATTGGGGTTGGCCGTGGCCGTAAGGCGGCAGCGTTACCCAAAAACCAATTATTCAGCCGCGAGAGATCGGGACGGGGCGGAGTTCCACCCCCACCCGATGCTCACGGACGCCCGAGATAGCACGGCCATCATCGCGGGATCAGACACGGCGGCGCTGACGCTCCCGAGGGAGGCAACGCGGCCGCATCCTCACTTCCCGAGGAGTCAAGCCCGCCTAGTGATGCTGTGATCGACATCGCATCATCATCCGGAGCGCTGCCCGAAGCAGCCGGTGCCACCGAAGAAGCAACCGACTGAATCGAACTAACGCTCGCTGGCTCTCGCACTGAGGCGGGAGGTGTGGCCCGAGGAATCGTCGGGGCTTTATCCCACACCATCACCGTAAAATCACCAGGTCCCCGGGTCGACGGGCCCCCTATGGAGGAAACCGATCGAGCGGGGGGACCGGGACTCTCACTCAATTGAGATCATTGAGTCTCGACCTCAGTGTAGAGATGGTCATGTTCCCACAGAAGGAACATGAGTCATCCACGAACGCTGCTGCTGCATACTGAATGCCCAGGCATACAAAGCAGCGATCGTGACCATCAGATGACGACAGAAATCAACCACACCCAGAAGAACACGGGCGAACCGTCTTTAAAAAGACGTGCGCGTGCAGCTCTTTCAATGAGAGGAGGAAATTCACTCTTTCAGCGCTGAAGCGACCAGGGAGAAGCGCAAAGTCTGGCAGACCACTGCTCAGATCGCAGGCGATGCAGAATCTCGCTGGGTACCGCCGTCACACCAACACTGAAGAGGACGCTCGTCTCGAAGAGTCTTGAACAGTGCTTTCAGGAGTGAAGAGGTTCTCTTGGCTCCGAAGCGAAAACATACTGCGGTTGCGTTCACTTCCTCCTTTTATACTCACGGAGTAGGGCGGAGTACGCTATGCAAATTTCCGCAGCCCCAAGGCATTGCATGCCATTGGCTCGTGTTTAAATACTCGAAGAGGATTGGCTTTCTATGCGAAACCCCCCCAATCTCCGTCACTTCTGACGTAACTCGAAGTGACTACGAAAGGGAACTCTGGATTATGATAGAGGGCCACGAGACTTTGACCTGAGTGCAAAAATGGAGGATCTAGACCCTTCCAGAGCTGAGATATCAAAATTCAAAATTTCGACCCGAAAAAAAAAAAAAACGACAGTGTTACCCCTTTCGTTTTTTTTCGTTTTCGGGCGAAAAATTAAGTTTCTCCAATCTTCTCAAAACTCTGGATTATGATAGAGGGCCACGAGACTTTGACCTGAGTGCAACAATGGAGGATCTAGACCCTTCCAGAGCTGAGATATCAAAATTCAAAATTTCGACCCGAAAAAAAAAACGACAGTGTTACCCCTTTCGTTTTTTTTTTTCGTTTTCGGGCGAAAAATTAAGTTTCTCCAATCTTTTCAAAACTCTGGATTATGATAGAGGGCCACGAGACTTTGACCTGAGTGCAAAAATGGAGGCTCTAGACCCTTCCAGAGCTGAGATATCAAAATTCAAAATTTCGACCCGAAAAAAAAAAAACGACAGTGTTACCCCTTTCGTTTTTTTTTCGTTTTCGGGCGAAAAAATAAGTTTCTCCAATCTTCTCAAAAATCTGGATTCTGATAGAGGGCCATGAGACTTAGACTCGAGTGCAAAAACGAAGTCTCAAGACCCTTCCAGAGCTGATATATTGAGATCCCACGTAGCATTTATGCCATTATAAAAATCTCAATATCTCAGCTCTGGAAGGGTCTAGAGCCTCAATTTTTGCTCTCAGGTCTAAGTGTCATGGCCCTCTATCAGAATCCAGAGTTTTAAGAAGATCAGAGAAACTCAAAATTTCGACCCCCACCTCTCCCCCCCCAAAAAAACGACAGTGGTACCCCTTTCGTTTTTTTTTTTTTCTGGGGCGAAAAAATAAGTTTCTCCAATCTTCTCAAAAGGCTGGATTCTGATAGAGGGCCATGAGACTTAGACTCGAGTGCAAAAATGAAGTCTCTAGACCCTTCCAGAGCTGAGATATTGAGATCCCACGTAGAATTATGCCATTATAAAAATCTCAATAACTCAGCTCTGGAAGGGTCTAGAGCCTCAATTTTTGCTCTCAGGTCTAAGTCTCATGGCCCTCTATCAGAATCCAGAGTTTTAAGAAGATCAGAGAAACTCAAAATTTCGACCCCCAGCCTTCTCCCCCCAAAAAAACGACAGTGGTACCCCTTTCGTTTTTTTTTCTTGTGCGAAAAAATAAGTTTCTCCAATCTTCTCAAAAGTCTGGATTCTGATAGAGGGCCATGAGACTTAGACCTGACTGCAAAAATGGAGTCTCTAGGCCATTTCAGAGCTGAGATATTGAGATCCCACGTAGCATTTATGCCATTATAAAAATCTCAATATCTCAGCTCTGGAAGGGTCTAGAGCCTCAATTTTTGCTCTCAGGTCTAAGTCTCATGGCCCTCTATCAGAATCCAGAGTTTTAAGAAGATCAGAGAAACTCAAAATTTCGACCCCCAGCCTTCTCCCCCCAAAAAACGACAGTGGTACCCCTTTCGTTTTTTTTTCTGGTGCGAAAAAATAAGTTTCTCCAATCTTCTCAAAAATCTGGATTCTGATAGAGGGCCATGAGACTTAGACTCGAGTGCAAAAATGCAGTCTCTAGACCCTTCCAGAGCTGAGATATTGAGATCCCACGTAGCATTTATGCCATTATAAAATTCTCAATATCTCAGCTCTGGAAGGGTCTAGAGCCTCAATTTTTGCTCTCAGGTCTAAGTGTCATGGCCCTCTATCAGAATCCAGAGTTTTAAGAAGATCAGAGAAACTCAAAATTTCGACCCCCACCTCTCCCCCCCCCCCCCCCCAAAAAAAACGACAGTGGTACCCCTTTCGTTTTTTTTTTCTGGGGCGAAAAAATAAGTTTCTCCAATCTTCTCAAAAGTCTGGATTCTGATAGAGGGCCATGAGACTTAGACTCGAGTGCAAAAATGGAGTCTTTAGACCCTTCCAGAGCTGAGATATTGAGATCCCACGTAGCATTTATGCCATTATAAAAATCTCAATATCTCAGCTCTGGAACGGTCTAGAGCCTCAATTTTTGCTCTCAGGTCTAAGTGTCATGGCCCTCTATCAGAATCCAGAGTTTTAAGAAGATCAGAGAAACTCAAAATTTCGACCCCCACCTCCCCCCCCCCCAAAAAACGACAGTGGTACCCCTTTCGTTTTTTTTTTCTGGGGCGAAAAAATAAGTTTCTCCAATCTTCTCAAAAGTCTGGATTCTGATAGAGGGCCATGAGACTTAGACTCGAGTGCAAAAATGGAGTCTTTAGACCCTTCCAGAGCTGAGATATTGAGATCCCACGTAGCATTTATGCCATTATAAAAATCTCAATAACTCAGCTCTGGAAGGGTCTAGAGCCTCAATTTTTGCTCTCAGGTCTAAGTCTCATGGCCCTCTATCAGAATCCAGAGTTTTAAGAAGATCAGAGAAACTCAAAATTTCGACCCCCACCTCTCCCCCCCCCAAAAAACGACAGTGGTACCCCTTTCGTTTTTTTTTTTCTGGGGCGAAAAAATAAGTTTCTCCAATCTTCTCAAAAGTCTGGATTCTGATAGAGGGCCATGAGACTTAGACTCGAGTGCAAAAATGGAGTCTTTAGACCCTTCCAGAGCTGAGATATTGAGATCCCACGTAGCATTTATGCTATTATAAAAATCTCAATATCTCAGCTCTGGAAGGGTCTAGAGCCTCAATTTTTGCTCTCAGGTCTAAGTGTCATGGCCCTCTATCAGAATCCAGAGTTTTAAGAAGATCAGAGAAACTAAAAATTTCACTTTTTCACGAATCCACTTTTGCTAATTTGTCGATGGTAAAAATCATCTATGGGACAATATCATTATGGACACAATATTAAGCTTTTACATTTCAATCTTTTTATTTTTAATATTTGGCTAGTTTGTGTGATGCTGCTTGTCCCTGTGTGTAATAAGCAGAGTGTAAGCGTGTCGTTGACCCACCTATGGGCGCACATTACAAACGCGCTCTTTAAAAAAATAAATAAATATAAATAACAAAACTGTTATTTGAATGTTATACTGTATAACTGTTATGAAACATCATTTGAGTAGTTGTTTTAAGACTTTGTTTTATTATTTGAGTTTTAAAGCATTTTAACATTAATTTTAATTTTGTTAGAAATTAGAAGCGTATAGAAATAGAAATAGAAATGTATAGAGAACGTATAGAAAGCGTATAGAAATAGAAATAGAAAATTTGAACATATTACTCTGGTTCTGATCTCTTTTCACTGGCTACCGATTAAATTTCGAATAGACTTTAAAGTCTTGCTTTTTATTTTTAAATCCTTACAAAATTTGTAAATCCTCAAAATCCGAATCATGTGGGAAGGACTGCAAAAAATATCTTTCCGATCGAAAAATGCCTTGATTGCAGTTCTCTGTTTGTCTATTAAAATTAATGTGCTGTCGATTTATTTCACAACAGACGTGACAGTGGAATCTATACTTCTCAATTCTCCAGCTGCAGTCATCTCTGAGAGAAATCAATTAAGCGCTCTTTGATAACGTGATGATTACGTCCTTGCAGATCATCTGTCCATCGTATAAAGCCCGCCCTGGCAATCTGATTGGCCCGATCATTTTTTGACTGATCATAATTTCTCCTCAATGGATTGAGTCCAGACCGAACTTCCCGACCAAAAAATGTTGTGGGCAGGGTTCGGGCTGGCATCCAGGCTAGTGGAAGAGCTGATAATGATGAGCTTTGATTGATCATTTGACTCTCCTTACGGCTCTGATTATTGGCTGTCAGTGTATTACAATTGAACAAAACAGATATTAATACTTCAAAAGGTCAGTAAATTAACATTATATCAGATAATGAAATATGGTGTATTGCTGTAAAATTAAATACGGTCAAAGTCTGTAAAACCTAAAATGTTGCTACCGTATTTTTAACAGGAAAACTCTGGTAACCACAGCTGCCAGGGTTTTCCTGTAAATTTAATGGATTTTTTTTTTTTTTTTTTTACAGTGTAGGATTTGCAGCACACATTTTATCTCTGGTAAGTAAATTACATTTGTGTCACAAAATAATTTGTATTTCTATATGTTAACTAGTCAAGTATGATGAATAATTATTTGATCTAGCAGTTTGGCTCCGTCATTGTTTTCACATGTAGATAGCATGCAACGTTAAATAGCTAACGTTAGCGTTTTGATATGTTTGGTTTGCAATGAAAAAGATAGATTTTTATTTCCGTTTCATTTCTAAATGTTCTGTGGGCTATAATTAGGAAAGTAGCCGCACATTAGTTGTCTAGCTATCCATTCAGCTGACAGCAGTGTATAACTTTACAATAATGTTTTATTGTGTAACATTAGCTTACTGCATTTTTTCACAAAATATAACGATAAACAAAATTTTTCATCACTTATTAAGCTTGTTTAATGTTAATTCCAACATGCATTAATTTATTAAACAATAACGGCCCATTAGTCCACAAGCTCCCTCATCCCTCCAGATGCTTGGTCGCTCATTGACCTACCCTCACCTTTGGATTGTACTCCTATGCCTTGTCCCTTCGTCCCCCCGGCTCCATTGAACTCCTCACTCCCTACTGCTCCTCCTTGGTCCTCAGTCCCTCTGTTTCCACCATCCCCTTTTTTTGTCCCTGTCTACACCTCAGTCACCCGAGCCAGCAGCTTTTCCTGTGTCCCTCTGAACCTTCTGCTCCACCATGGCCCGGCAAACTTTCATCATCCTCCACCATCGGCTCCACCTCTGTCCGTCATCACCCTAAAACCTCCTCTCCTTCAGTCTCCATAGCTCCTCCATCCTCATCCTTCCCTTTGGACCTATCACCTTTCAACCAAGCTCTTCTTCACCTGATATTCTGCCTGCCTTCTCCAGCCCTTCGCCCACTCCTGTTGCTAGCCCTCCGTCTGCTCCTCCTCCTCCTCCCAAACCCCTACCTCCACACCGTCATCTCTCTTGTTACTGCGCGAGGACGCACCTTGCGGGGAGGGGCGTTATGTCACAGTTTTGTTTTGTTTAGTTTTTTTTTTTTTTTTTTGGACTTGTCTGCCCGTCGTACATGTTGTCTTCACTGTTAGGATCAGTTCATCTGTTTCATCTTAGTTAAACATCATCATCATCTGTATCAACTGTGTTCTGTTAATCAGTGCTATCTGTGTTTGTATTTAAGTTCTATCTGTTCAGTCGGTCTTGGTCCGATCTCTGTTATATTTAGTGTGTGTTGCTGCCAGTTCTGCTGTGCTGTTATATTATCATCAAATCTTCGTTTTGGAATTATATCCTCATCTCTGTTTGCTTTTTCTGTAACCACCCATGACAGTGGTAAACATGATTGTAATGTGTTACAAAGACGCAAACGTTTACAATTTTTATCAGGGCTTTGAGCTCACTCTGGGAATGGTTAACTCTTGGACACTGTTCAGGGGTGTTTCTATTTACATTTGTGCTGTAGCGAGCTGGGCATCACTGCAAACATTTGTGAGATATATATATATATATATATATATATATATATATATTTCATTTAATGAAAATGATAAATGTTATCGGTAATGGATAGCTTTTTCCAGGTATTATACTTTTTAGATCTCTGAATCATCTGCAGAGGCTTAATTGTGCTAACTGGAAGGCTAGTTCACAGAATATTGCAATAGTCAACATCAATCCAGGGTGGGAAGTTTATAGCAGAAATGTTTGAGTGAATTAGAACCTTTAAAAGTTCAAATTTGGATTCAAGACACTCTTGATACTCAACACTCTACTGATGAGAATAATAAGGTTTAATGTAATCATATAGATCAGACATCAGTGTTGTAATAGTTTAAATTGTTGAAAAACACACAAAGGCTAATTATTTGCTGAAATAAACAGGTTTATTAAGAAAGGTACTTTTACAATAAACATTCATATTATATGACTTCAGTAAATGCTCCTTTCAAGTGTAAAATATTCATTCTTCTTTGGCCTGGGAAAGGAAGAGTCAAAAAGTCTTATTAACAAAAATGTTTTTCACTTTTTACATAATGAAGAGAATACAGATGTGCAAATGTCATACAGGATATGTAACATTAGCAATTATTATAGATCCACTACTACTTCTAAGAGGTAGTTCATGTATTTGGATGAACAAATTTAATAAATAATGCAAAAAAACACATCTACTTAGTCTTACCTTTCCAGAATCTCGGCTCTTCACTCTGAGCTTGTTGACCTGAGACTCGGAAATGTCAGCACGCTCCTCAGCCTCCTCAAGCTCATGCTGCACCTTCCTCAACTTGGACAGGTGACCATTGGCTTGCTCCTCCTAAAGGTTTTTTTTTAATTTTTATATATGGTTCATGTATCACGTTTCTCCAAATTAGCATTCCAATATAAATTATTACAGTGTCAAAATGTTCTATTAGATTTTACATACCGCCTCTTCAGACTGCCTCTTGTAGACTTTGACCTTCAGCTGCAGTTTGTCAACCAAATCCTGAAGTCTGGCAATGTTCTTCTTGTCCTCGTCAGTCTTCAGAAAATACACATTTACAAAATTAAGCATTACTACTGTACTAAAAATAGGCATTGTTAGTAAACACACTATTATACATAATCTTTTGTCTGAACAAACTTGTGAGGAATATGGTCATACCTGATAAGTGAGCTCTTTCACTCTCCTCTCATATTTGCGGACACCTTTAACAGCGTCAGCTCCACGTCTCTGCTCTGCTTCAACTTCAGCCTCAAGCTCACGTACCTAAAAAAAATATTGTTTTTATTCAAACAATTCATAATATAGCATACTTCACTTTGCCCATACCGAACTATAAAGAGGCTTACTCTGGACTCCAACTTTTGGAGTTGTTTCTTTCCTCCCTTCATGGCCAGATTCTCAGCCTCATCCAGTCGGTGCTGCAGGTCCTTCACTGTGACCTCCAGATTCTTCTTCATTCTCTCAAGGTGAGAACTGGTGTCCTGCTCCTTCTTCAGCTCCTCTGCCATCATCGCAGCCTTTTGCATTAATACAGAAAGTCATTAGATCCACATTTTTTTTCATAAGACGTAAGCGTCTTTTGAAACATTTGGCAGCTACTGTTGCTCACATCAGTGATGGCCTTCTTGGCCTTCTCCTCTGCATTTCTGGCTTCCTGTACAGTGTCATCAACTTCACTTTGGACATGAACAAGGTCCGCCTCAAGCTTCTTCTTGGTGTTCAGGAGACTTGTATTCTACAAAATGGAAAGCAACAGTTTGAACAGTTTGAACATTTTGAACGATGCTCTCAATTCCCTTAATTTCAGGGAAACAATATGCACTTACCTGAGAGTGCAGCAGCCCAACACGCTCACTGATATCCACCAACTCTTGTTCAGCCACTTTGCGGCCTCTCTCTGTCTGCTCCAGAGCAGCTCTCAGCTCCTCAATCTCAGACTGCATCAGAGCGTTTCTGCGCTCCACCATGGCCACTTGCTCCTTCATGTCTTCCTGTCCTCTCTGGGCATCATCAAGGTGCAGTTGGGCATCCTGAACATAACAATAGCTTTTGAATGAGCTTTCGATGTGGTTTCTTCTAGACTGTACTTACCATATGTTAGATTATTTTTTTAAATGTACAGTATGTGAATACATCCCAAAGTCAAAAAGAATCATTCCTATGCATACCTTGAGTTGTCCCTGAATGTTCCTGAGCTGTTTCTGGGCCTCAGCAGCCTGGCGATTCGCGTGACTCAGCTGAATCTCCATCTCATTAAGGTCTCCCTCCATCTTCTTCTTGATTCTCAGGGCATCATTCCTGCTCCTGACTTCAGAGTCCAGAGTGCCCTGCATGGATTCAATGACTCTCTGGCTGTTCCTCTTGATCTGCTCCATCTCCTCATCCTTCTCTGCAATCTTCCTGTCAACCTCTCCCTTGATCTGGTTTAGCTCAAGCTGGACACGAAGAATCTTGGACTCCTCATGCTCCAGTGTTCCCTTATGAAAAATAAAACAACATTTAAATATGAGACACACAATGAATACAACAATACAGTATGATGGTTCAAGCAAGATATCCATATTGATCTTCAAATACTCACTTCAGCCTCCTCCAGGGCGGTCTGAATCTCTGACTTCTCAGTCTCCACTGTCTTCTTGGCTTTTTCCAGCTCATGGATGCTCTTACCAGTCTCACCTAACTGCTCTGTCAGATCCGAAATTTCCTCTATAGAGAGAAAAACATATATGTTTTTTTTTTTTTTATCATAATGCGCATTCATTAATCATATGTGCTTACTTTTTAATGATCACAGAGAATTAGAACATTTAAAGGGATAGGTCACCCAAAAATTAAAATGTTATCATTAGTTAGTTACTCACCCACATGTCATGACAAAACCGTAAGACTTTCGTTCATCTTTGGAACACAAATTAATATCTTTTTGATGAAATTTGAAAGCTTTTTGTCCTTCCATGGACAGCTACACAATTGACTTTTCAAAAAGGTAATAAAGAGATCATAAAACTAATCCAAATGAATTGAGCTCTCAGATTTAATCAAAAAGATCTTAACTTGTGTTCCGAAGATGAACAAAAGTCTCACGAGTTTGGAACGACATATGGGTCAGTAATTAGTAAAAATAATTTTCATTTTGGGAGAAGAATCCTTTTAGGTTTTTTACTATTTTAACGGTTTTGTTCTTACGCTGCAGATTCTTGTTCTCTCTCTTGAGGGTCTCCAGGTGATCCAGACTCTCCTCATAGGAGTTCTTCATCTTGAACAGTTCAGTGCTGAGTGAACGAGCCTCTTTCTGGGCACCTTCCAGCTCTGCCTGACCTTCCTCATATTTCTGCTTCCATTCTGCCAGGACCTTTGGTGGAGATATTTTAGGATAGTTTGTTTAAAAAATGTTGAACAAAACCCATTCCAGTAATACTTTACAAAGAGAATATAATATGACTAAAACTGTTTACCTTGTCGAAGTTCTTCTGTTTCTTGTCAAGGTTAGCAGCCAAACCATTGGCTCTCTCCACATCAATCATGAGGTCCTCCACCTCACCCTGGAGTCTCTGTTTAGTCTTCTCCAGAGATGCACATTTGGAGTTCACAGCCTCAACTTGTTCCTCTGCCTCTTGCAGACGCTGAGCCAGCTTCTTCCTGTTAAGTAATTCATATTATTTTGAATTCCAATCTATAAAATAGTTGTGGAAATTGGAAATATTATACAATAATTTACATACTTGGACTCTTCAAGCTCTTCTGTGCGCTGGATGGCATCAGTTTCATATTTGGTTCTCCACTGAGCAACCTCACTGTTAGCCTTTGACATTCCCCGCTGCAGCTCAGCCTTTGCCTCCTGCTCTTCCTCAAACTGCTCACGGAGCAGGTCGCAGTCATGACGGGCTGATTGCACAGCATGGGCCAGTGCGTTTTTAGCCTAAGGGACAAAGTCATTCTATTAGCTTGTCTCAACAGTGAAGTAATTGACAAGTATGTGCATGAATTGATTATGCTGTATTACCTTAACCTCTTCTTCAATATGCCTCTTAAGCTCCTCAATTTGTTGAGTGGAAGCTTGTTTGCCTCTGGTGAGCTGAGAAACTAGAGCCTCCTTCTCCTCCAGCTGACGGCCAAACTCACCTGTATAGATTTAGATTCACTGTGTCAGACTTTTCTATGTCTCAAACAGTTTATTTTTTAAAAATGGATGTAAGATTTGATTAGTGTTAGTCAGAAATGTACAGCTGAACAATCTTGATACACTATTCATTTTGATTAATTATTATTGATAAATATTGACATTAATTATTTTTTATTTAATAATAATATGTTCATGAGTTACCATTTTCAGTTTGAAATCTTGCACTTTGTGTACTGAGGTCATTTAACTGACGAATGTTCTCGTCATTCTTGGACTTAATTTCACTAAGTTGGTCCTCAAGTGTGCGGCACATCTTCTCAAGATTGCCCTGCAAACACAAAAATCATTAGATATTTGAAAGAACTTCAAGACTTTTTGTATGTGACCCGTGCTGGCAAAATGAGTCACAATGAGCACATTTTCAAAAATAAGTTATTGTTATTTACTTTTATTTATTATTATTATTATATACTTTATATTTATTGTTGTTAAAAGAAACCTTGGAATCAGACAAAAAAAGGACTGCACTACAACTATTTGAAATAATAGTCAGCAAAGTAAATTTTTAGACAAATCTAGTTCAAGTTTTCTGAAGGATCCAAAACAAAATCACCTAGCAACCATACCTAAAATCCATGGTAATACCAGCAAATTTGGCACACACCAAATCAAAACCAAATATCTATAGGACAATATGTATATTAAAATGTTTTCCATGATACTACAATTGTTTGATTAACATTAATGCGACAGTAGCCTGTATATTGAGAACTACTGTAATGCACACATCTAATATAATGTTATACTGTATATCAGATGTTTTTCCCCAACAGTTAACCAAACATTCACTTAAGGCATAACAGATAATGTTTGCAACACATCAGTTTAAAATGTTTGCAACACATCATGAGTTTAAAAATCATATTTCATTGGTTCAGACTTATGCCATCGAGAATTCAGTATGGATACTAAAACTTGTGCTGAGGGGAGGCACCAGTCGTTGAGAAGCGAGAAAAGAAAAGAGGCATTTTTTTATGGATGGTTAAAACAAAGGAAAGATTTAGGAAGGTATACCTCTCAGAAAACATAAAAATAAAGAAAAAACATTTTAGATGATTAATTACTACTTGGAGCATTTGGATCGCTAGAAGGCGGCTTGATGAACACATTTTTGTGAATGAAAATGAAATTAGACCAAGATTTACATTTGCTTGTCGCTCGTAATTAGCACATGCGTATTATGACTCATTTTGCCGGCAATGGGTCACATATATTCTTTAGAATATTTCCCAACCTTTGCTTTGGCAACAGCTTCCATGTTGCTGGAAAGATCATCAATCTCCATTTTGAATTCGCTCTTCTCTTTCTCAAGCTTCTGCTTGACACGCTGCAGGTTGTCGATTTGCTCTCCCAGCTCAGCCACACTGTCTGCCTGCTTCTTGCGGAGGGCAGCAGCAGTAGCTTCATGCTGGAGGGTGGACTCTTCAAGATCACGACGCAGCTTCTGGAATTCAGCTTCACGCTTCTTATTCATCTCGATCTGAGCAGAAGTGGCTCCTCCAGCCTCCTCAAGCCGCTCACTGATCTCCTCCAGTTCCCTGGAGAGATCAGCTCTCTGCTTCTCAACCTTGGCACGAGCAGCGCGCTCAGCCTCAATCTCTTCCTCCAGTTCCTCAATGCGAGCCTATGGTGGAAAATAGTTAATTCGATTTTTGGTGATTTGCATTTGATCACAATGATTTAATGTTTGAAAAAATCTGAAAAAAAAAAAAAAAACCTGAAGCTCCTTGATTTTCTTCTGGAGTTGAGCACCTAGAGATTGTTCATCTTCAATCTTGCTGAGCAGCTGACTTGTTTCAAAGTCTTTCCTGTTCAACAATAAGTAATTGTAAAAAAAAACAAAAACAAAAAAACATAACACAACAATAAAAGTTTTAATTGTTTTAAAAGATTTCCTGCTTTATTTACTTTTTTATTTTCTCATCAGATTGCTGCTTGTCATTCTCCAGGTCCATGATGGACTCTTGAGCTAATTTCAGGTCTCCTTCAAGCTTTCTCTTGGCTCTCTCCAGGTCCATGCGGAGCTTCTTTTCTTGTTCAAGGGAACCCTCAAGCTACAAGACAATGATATATAAAATATGTTCAAAGCAGAAAACAGTTTATTTGATGAATTTATATAATTAATTTGCATAATCAACTCACATCATCAACTTGCTGCTCAAGCTTTGTCTTGGATTTGGTCAGGGTGTTGACTTTGTCCTCTTCGGCCTGAAGATCATCCAGTGTCTGCTGATGGGACTCTTGGAGGGCTTTCTTCTCCTTCGTAAGCTTGGCAATGCTCTCATCCTGAGCTGCCATTTCCTCAGTCAAGTTCTTGACCTGTGTGATTTTTTTGTTTCAAATAAGCTTATATTTGCAATTTATTTTCTATATCAACATATAAATCAACATATACTGTAAGACAGAGATTAAGTCTATTCTTAACCAACTCAATCTCCAACCTTATTCTCAGTGGCATGTTTCTCCTTCTCCACTTTAGCCAAGGTGAGCTCCAGGTCATCGATGTCTTTCTTCAGCTCAGAGCACTCATCCTCCAGTTTCCTCTTCTTGGCTGTCAGTTCAGCATTGATTTCTTCCTCATCCTCCAGTCTCTCAGTTGTCTCCTTGAGTTTAGCTTCAAGCTGGATTTTGCTTTTGATCAGACCCTCACACCTCTCCTCAGCATCTGAGAGACCCTCAGATTCCTGTTAGTAAAATAGATGGCTATTTCATTGGAAACAACCTTGCTCATGTTAAATGGAGCCAGTATTCAGTTAACTATAAAATATACTCACAGATTGCACTTGCAGCTGCAGATCATTTTTCTCTTGCAACAGTGCTACCATCTTCTCTTCAAGCTCCTTCTTTTTGGCTTCAGCCTTAACCAAAGCCTCTTTGCATTTTACAAAGTCCTCTTTCATGTTTGCCAGCTCTTTCTCAGTCTCTGCACTTTGAAGCAGAGGCTTAATCTTGTAATAAACCTTCATCCATGGCCAGTGTTTGACATTCATGAATGAGCGGATGTTGTATTGGATGGTGTAAATCGACTCCCTGTGAATAATTCATCATTAAATGGCATACTCATCATTAAGTTTGCACAGTTACCATTGATTTCATCTTTACTCATGACAATAGTCACCTCCTCTCCGTCATTTTCACATACTCCCTCCTCATCAGGTAACCACGGGCGAGAGCCTGAGTCATTGTGACTAGAGCAGCCAGTTTTTCATCACGCATCTCCTCAAGAACACCCAGAAGACCAGCTTTGAAGAACACCTGAATTGATGTAAAACAATACATTTAAATATGTTGATTTAAACTGTATTAAGCTTAATGACCATGATCACTGAATCTTTGAAATCTGTAAAGCTAAATATGAACCTTTGTATTTCCAAATCTGTAGTCGTCATGATTAATGTCAATGGATCCCAGGAGTTTCTCACTGGCCTTCTTGTTATCCATAAACTGTCCATCTGGGATAACACCAGCATTCAGCACCTTGTATCTATGGAAAATGTATAAAAATACTTCATATCTTTTAATTAGGAGCCTCCTAGGAAATGTTGTTTTCATGTGGTCCCATTTACCTCTGCTTAAAGTCACCATATTGGATTCTGCTGGGAAAACCCTTTGTGCAGATTCTGATACCCTCTAGAACACCATTACACCTCAGCTGGTGGATGACCAGGAAGTTTTCCATGAGACCTATAACAAACAGTTTATACCATGAACTTCGTAAATTAACTTCATCATATATATTGAGATATACTGTACTTTTTTTTAATACTTTACCTGGAGTCTTGGACTCATTAGGAATCAGACAACGCACAAAGTGAGGGTGAGTGGCCCTTAAGTTAGTCATGAGTTTGCCCAAGTTCTCCTGTGGAGAATAGAAAAAGTTTGGCATGTTTTGTATTTCTTTCTTTCTTTTTTTCTCAAATAAACCAATATTCCTGTGATGTCATCTCTATACATACCCTGAACTGGGAGGACACAGTTTGCATGGAGCCACCCTTCTTCTTGCCTCCCTTTTTAGTATTATCTATTGAGATAAAAATACCAAGAAACATGTATAAATGGTAAAAACAAGAAAGAAAGTTACAAACTAAATCAAAGTTTTGTTAAATAGATTTTTTTCTTTACCCTCAACGACAGGTGGGTAGAGAGTAGCCAGCAGTTTGACAGAAGACTTCTGGTACAGCAGCAGAACAGAATCATTCAGTGGATCCTTGTTCTTGTCCAACCAGCCTGTGACATTGTAGTCCACAGTTCCAGCGTAGTGAACCAGGGAGAAGTGGGCTTCAGCCTTGCCTTTGGCAGGCTTTGGTTTCTCAAAAGCTTTGTTCTTGCCAAGATGCTGATCATATAGCTTGTTCTTGAAGGAAGTGTCTGAAGCCTTGGGGAACATGCACTCCTCTTCAAGAATGGAGAAGATACCCATGGGCTGTTCATAAAAGAAT